CCAGCCAATGAGAGTGGAGGGACATTGTTGCCTGTCAATCATTGATGCTCATGAGACAGCAGCTGACCTTAAGATTCATCCACCTGGACAATGAAGCACCATGAAAAACTGAAATGACCCTGACCTATCCTTAGATACTTTATAATGGATGCCTCTGCCGATTGGATCACTGTTGGGGTATTTTAGATCTCTGTAAACTTACCTGGTTCAACCATCCTCCTGACAATGCCTCAAAAGGATCCAGGAGTGTGACCCCTGCGTTATCTAGAGCAACCACATTCATCCTGTATGGAGACAGGGGTTTCTTCATCTGTCTTCTGTCACATCATCAATAAACACCAATAACCCAGTGCCACTGGAAGCCAGGCATGGCCATGCCATCACACCGCCTCCACCCATGCCATCACACTGCCTCCATCATGGTTTATAGATGACGTTGTGTGCTTTGGATCTGAGCTGTTCCAAGCCTTCTCCTCACTTTTTTCTTCCCGTCATTCTGGTACAGATTTATCTTTGTTTCATCCGTCCAAAGAATGCTTTTCCAGAAACGGTCCGGCTTTTTTAGATGTTTTTGGCAAAGTCTAATCTGGCTTTTCTATTCTTCAGGCTTATGAATGGTTTGCGCTTTGTGGTGAACCCTCTGTATTCGCTCTTGTGAAGTCTTCTTTTGATTGTAGACTTTGACAATGATACGCCCACCTCCTGGAGAGTGTCCTTCACTTGTCTGAATGTTGTGAATGGGTTTTTCTTTACCATAGAGAGGGTGGTCATCCACCACTGTTGTCTTCCATGGATGTCCACACCTTGTTATGTTGCTGAGCTCACCAGTGTGTTCTTCTTTCCTCAGAATGGACCAAACTGTTGATTTGGCCCCTCCTAATGTTGCTGCGATCTCTCTGATGGATTTGTTTCATTTTTGAAGCCTTAGCCTGTTTCACTTCTATGGACGGCTCCTTTAGACGCATGATGGAGGTTCACATCAATAGATTCCAAATGCAAATCTTTCACTTAGAATCAACTCCAGACCTTTTACCTGCTTAATTGATGAAGAAATAATGAAGGAGTAGCCCACACCTGGCCATGAAACAGATTTTGATTCAATTGTTCAATTACTTTTGATCCCTTGAAAAAGAGGGGAAGGCTGCTCTTAAGAGCGGTAATTCCTAAACCCTTCCTCCAATCTGGATGTACATACCCTCAAATTAAACCTGAGAGTGCGCACTGTCCACCCATATCCATTTTAGAACTAGAGCTGGAATATGATTTAGTAAATACCTGAAAAAATCTAAAATTGTACCCGTGTCCAAATATATATGGACCTAACTGTATGCAAGTTATTCTTTCTTTTTTTTGCTATTGATCCAACCTTTTGACCAAATTATCTCTTTTTGGGCTAAACTATTACACTATAAGGGTTCTCTCGACTCTCTTTTCTTTTTTCCTTGTGAACACCCCGAACGACTCCAGAGGTCGGTGGTCAGTCTTTTTGGGACTGGACCTCTCTGACCTCCTTTAGAGCACCACGCCCTTAACTACAAACTCAATCATTTGGTCAGGTGTACACATACGTTGGGCAATACCAGAGCAAAAGATAGCAAATCCATCATTTAAAGTGATTCTAAAGTCAAGACATGTTTTACCTTAATGCATTCCCTGCATTAAGGTACAAAATGTCCCATTATTTCCCCCCCAACACTCCTCTCTTGATCCAGCGTTGTGCCCATCTGCAGCACCAATCCTCTCTCTTCCTCTTCTTACAGGACACACAGGCATCAGCAGGAGTCATTGGCTCTTGGTGCTGTCAGTCAATCTTGTAGGGAGGGAGCGGGGGCATGGGTGAGCCTTGCTGTGTGTGTCTATGGATACACAATGCCCAGCTTAGGAGCATGCCACACGAGTGCTCCCCCAGCACTTGCTTAACCCTTTTAAGTCCGGACACTTTCCCCCCCTTCCAGTCTGGACACTTTCACTCCCTTCCAGTCCGGACACTTCCCCCCCTTCCAGTCCGGACACTTTCCCCCCCTTCCAGTCCGGACACTTTCAACCCCTTCCAATCCGGACACTTTCACCCCCTTCCAGTCCTGACACTTTCACCCCCCCAGTCCGCACACTCCCCTCCCCTTCCAGTCCGCACACTCCCCTCCCCTTCCAGTCCGCACACTTCCCCCCGCCCTTCCAGTCCGGACACTTTCACCCCCTTCCAGTCCACACACTTCCCCCCCTTCCAGTCCGCACACTTCCCCCTCTTCCCAGTCCGCACACTTTCCTCCCTTTCCAGTCTGCACACTCCCCCCCTTCCAGTCTGCACACTTCTCCCCCCTTCCAGTCCGGACACTTTCACCCCCTTCCAGTCCGGACACTTTCACCCCCTTCCAGTCCCGACACTTTCCCCCCCCCTTCCAGTCCAGACACTTTCACCCCCTTCCAGTCCAGACACTTTCACCCCCTTCCAGTCAAGACACTTTCACCCCCTTCCAGTCCAGACACTTTCCCCCCTTCCAGTCCGGACACTTTCCCCCCTTTCCAGTCCAGACACTTTCCCCCCTTTCCAGTCCAGACACTTTCCCCCCTTTCCAGTCCAGACACTTTCACCCCCTTCCAGTCCAGACACTTTCCCCCCTTCCAGTCCGGACACTTTCACCCCCTTCCAATCCGGACACTTTCACCCCCTTCCAGTCCGGACACTTTCACCCCCTTCCAGTCCGGACACTTTCCCCCCCTTCCAGTCCAGACACTTTCCCCCCCTTCCAGTCCGGACACTTTCCCCCCCTTCCAGTCCAGACACTTTCCCCCCCTTCCACTATCGTGACACTGTACTACTTGTGGGGAATGAAGATTATTTTTTCTTTTTTTACACTGATTGCTTTTACACGCATAAAGGCTGTAAAATCAATAATTTCTCCTTCTCTCTGGCTGCATTCCTTCAGCTATTGAGAAATACTGTGAGAGCTGTGATTGGTCACAGCTTGTCTCATGGTACAAGGCTGTTGTGAATGGCCCTGTACCATGTGATCTCTGTGATCATTCACAGATTTCACACGTAGTAAGCAATGATGTCAGAAGTGACATCTTGCTTACTACTATTCATGTGATCACTGATTGCTCAATCAGTGATCACATGATCGGGACCTCACACAGAGGTCCCGTACAGCGATCGGTCTTCCACTGTGTCCTCCCGGACACAGCGGACACTGGATCGTGGTGCTGCTCGCACAGGCAGGGAATGCGGGAGGACGTTTATAAACAGCAACTCGCTCCTGCACTGCTCCCGTTTGGCCATTTATGTACATTGGCCGAACGGGAAGTGGTTAAGGGGCACTCGGAGAAGAGGAGGAGCAGAAAGCACCAATGGGAGACCCCAGAAGAGGAGGTATGGGGCTGCTTTGTGCAATACCATTGCACACATTAGGTAAGTATAACATCCTTTTAATTTTAGGAAAAAAAATACCTTTAGAACCACTTTAGCATAAAAATAAGTATAATTTGAAGAGTTTTCTGTCTGTGAATGATTATGGTGAATGCGTCTTATTAGCTGAGCAAATGATTGGGCAGTGACGTTATGGGTGAATCTGCTATTTGACCCTTTATAAAAAAGAAACTTCTCCATGTTCGCCTCTCTTCCTCCACCATGATTGACTTTGTGATTGGAATATTTGTAGTAAGTCTTCTAGGGAAGTGATATTCCTCTGCTTATGATTAGAGGAGCTGTACTTCTCTCCAGGGGCGGACTGACAACTCATGGGCTCCCCAGGCAATAGGGGATCATAGGGCCCCTGTGTCCTTGCCCAAACTCAAAAAAGCCTATGAAAAAGTTACCAGGGGCATCTCATGGGGCCCCCTACTGACCCCGGGCCCTCGGGCAGTGCCCGAGTTTCCAAATGGTCAGTCCGCCTCTGCTATGGGTATATCTGTTTCTGATCTCCCTGAGGGAGTATTGAATTTCAGAAGCCCCACACCAGATCCATTCCCAGTAACCAGAGAGGGAGCCTCCTGCACAAGCTGAGAGCAGCACCTATCCAGCCCTTAAGGGGAACTCTGACTGCCGTTTGGATCTCCATTTAAAGCCCCAGAATCCACTTGATGCACCATCCCAGCCATAGAGGGAAGCTACTACACTATCTACTCTGCTGATATCTTGATGACGTCTGGATTAATATTTATATGCGCAATTACATTGCGCGTCCGGTGAGTGCACAATTTTACCACAATTACTGCACAAGCACCGATCCATCAAGAATATACTGGCACTTTAGGAGCACTGAAGTTTATTCATTTATGGACTTTTATTCATATTATTAATGATTTTAGTGCTGCCTCATATTTTTATAGTGATATTTCTCTGCTTATGATTAGAGGAGCTTTACTTCTCTCAGATACTTTGATCCTGAAATCAGACTTTGTTTTCTGACAATAGATCTTTAGAAGCCTCAGTCCTCTTAAAGTATCATTCTGCCTCCCTGGGGTTGCATGCCTCAGGTCTAGACTTTATGTAGATCAGTCCTGCCCTAAGATGAGTTTTTACGTTAATCTTTACCAACAAAATTTTGCAGAAAAGGAAACCTACAAAATGATACATTTAAACCATAAACCATTTCAAAAAAGAGATACGTGGTGGGTTGATGATTGAAAATCCAACTTTATTGAGCTTGTGTCTGAAAATACATTCATCTTTGCAGACTGTCCCTCCTAGGCTGAGATCTGCCATACATCACCGAAAAGCCGGGGATTAAGTCAGCCGGCTCTGTTAGTGCATACTAAGGCATTACAGGGCATCACATAAAACATATTTTCTCTGATATTTTTATGTGACACCAAACAAGGTAACGGCTTAAAGTGTATCTCTTATTTTGGAAGTTTTTCTACATCTGATATTACACAAGGGCTTCAGCAAACACAGTTTGCATGTAAACTGGCCATAAAACATAAACTCAATGAGGCTGAGCAATTCAGAAAGAAAGATGCTTTATTTTAAACTAACACTGAAAGTAAAGCCTAAACTTTCAGTGTCCTCCACTCCTCTCTGCCAATCCTTCCACTGTCTTCTGCTCACTCTTCAAAATTCAGAATACTAACAACAACCTACAAAGCCATCCACAAATCTGCCCTTAGCTCCATCACCAACCTCATCCCAAATCATCCTCTCCGCTCTTCCCAAGACCTCTTATTCTCTAGATCCCTCGTCATCTCCTCCTGTGCTCACTTCTCCAGAACTTCTTCGATCCTCTGGAAACCCCCTACCCCAGTCTGTCCAATTATTTCCTACTGTGTCTGCCTTTTGGAAGTCCCCGAAAACTCCTCTCTTCAAGAAAGCCTATCTATCACGTACCTGGTGATGGAGGCCAATGGAGAGAGGGCTTCCTTTGCGGCTAAGTTCCGGACTCCCCTGAAAGTGGGACAGCTGGAGTCTGGCCCAAAGTAGCACAGGTCACCTCTAGGAGTGCTGGTTGGTGGTCAACTCAGAAGCACAGCTGGTGCACGGAGATAGGTCTGCAGACAGGAGGCGCCTGTGTGTGGTATGCAAGCTCTTCCGGGATTTAGATGTTTACTGTATAGTCGGTTCAAGTCAAGGTCAGGTACCAGGTGGGAATCAGAGCAGACGTAGTCAGATGGGATAGCCGAGGTCATACACAGAGGAGCGAGAGAGTATCCGTAAGCCAAGCCGAGGTCAGATCAGGGGTAAATCAGAGTAGACAGGTCCAGGAGCAAGCCAAGTCAATAACAGGAAATCACAAGTCAGAATCACAGGAAACAGGAACAGGGCACGGGGAGCTAGAGAACATCCAGCAACTAGAAGAAGTAATGAGCCTCCTTATAAAGGCCGTCTGGCACCAGAATGAGGTTGATGTGTAGTTCTGCGGCCATGTAGAGTACTGGCAGAAATGCCAGATCTTCCAGAACTCCTGCCATGGACAGGACCCCGACACTATCCCATCTGTTGGAGGCCCAAATCATCTTCAGCTCCTGCCATGCTGGTTAAGGTCCCTTCCCTCTTCTTCCTGGAATAGGGTATACACCCACCTGATATGGAGACCTAATCATGTTTTGCTGACATGATTCTGGCCTGAGGTCCACCTTTTTGAATATAAGAATGTCCACACCTTTGACTCTTTAAAAGTTATTGTACTATAAAGCAACCTTCTTCAACCTTTGCATAGCAGACTTTCCACTTCCACATTCCACATTTACAGTGCAAAGCAAAACTAAAGACAGAACTCAAATGCAGAAAGTCCAGTCATCTTCCATTTCCTCCATCTTGAGTCCCCTTACTATGGGTCCCCACTTTGAGTCACTCTCTCTCTGGGCCTAGGCCTGGAAGGCCTTCTTCTGCTCAGGATACAAACCTACATGATATAAGTTAGGGTAACCTGTTCCCATGCTCTCTCTGCCTAAAATGCCACCCATATACACACAGGATATTATAAAAAGACACAGTCTCCACCTACAACTACACCCAGGGGAGGGGGTCTCTCTATAAAGAATACTGCCACCTGCTTACACACCTTCACTTAACACAGACTTTCTCAACCTTTTTACTCCAGAGGAACTTTTGAAATAATTTTCAAGTCTTGAGGAAAATTATTTGGGGGACAGTGGGGAAAAATGTCCCTTACATTGCTGGTCAGTGGGAAAAGTGCTCCATCTTATGATGGTCAGAATGCCACCTTTACAGACAGCTAAAAAGATCTTTGGTGTCATGAAGCTGGTTCTGCCAAGTGGCATGGGCCCCAGAACTTTGCAGACACCATCAAATATGGGGTCATTCATCCACAGCTCAAGGAATCACTAACAACCTCTGGAGAAATCCTAGGGTTCCATGGAACACTGGTTGGGAATAGCTAACCTAACACCTTCCTCCATCAGTTCAGACAATAATCCCAAAATACATTCCTCTACCAGTTGCACGTCCTAAATTTAATAGGATGGCTAAGAAATGAATCACAATGTTGCCAGGAGATGACATGGAGTTAGACCAACAGGCAGAAGGTAAACAGTGACCTTGAGAACTATGGAAGGGCAGAACTCCCTGGAAAAAAGGGAAATGTGTAAAATGTCCCTGAAGACTCATCTCATAAGGGAAGCCTATCCAACCTCCACCTCACATCTCAACTACTATGTAGGCAGGTGCAGTCTGTTTTCTCCACAGTGGGTGGTGCTCGACCGGAGCGGTACTACAGCCTGGAGAGGAAGTCAGGAGAATCTTGGTTTCTCTATGGTTTCCTGGTCCCTGTGGGCAGCGTTCTGGTTGGTTATGCTGCATCCAGTTTACCTCTGGTGGCCATCTTGGGTCAGCAGAGTCTTTATAAGTCCCTTCCCCCAGGTTTTGCTGTGCATTTTGGGAAGTGGCTAGAGTAGGAAAAGCACACCTGTCTGTCAGGGAAAGTGATAGTGGAAGGTAAAGGTTACAAGCTAATAGGGACAGGCTAGGGACTTGCAATCCTACGAGGAAGCTTCCCCTTTGGGACTGGACTGGCCAGGCTGCATTCCGCCCTCTAAAGACAGACACTGTCGGTGCATCTTTATCCTCTGCATCTCTGCATTGAATTGAACTGTGAGTGTTACTGAAGCAGTGTTCTCCCGCTGGGGTTGTTTGTAGTTGAGCATTCTCTGCAATACAAGTTCTGCAACCGGACTCTGTGTCTTTACTGCGACTGCACCACGCTGCGACTACCCACAACTACTTACTCCATCAGCTCATCCTTCACAGTTATTACCTTTTGTACCACTTGCCTGTCCCTTTTAAATTGGAAGATCTAATGATCAGGGCCCTCCTAACCTTTCTGTCTTGAAATGTATTGCACCAGCACTGTCTCCCTTTATATTGTAAAACTTATCTCCCGCCTTGACTATTGTAACTCCCTCCTCATTGGCTGACCTCATCGCAGGCTATCCCCTCTTCAGTTATCATGAATGCTGCTGCCAGACTCATCCACCTTTCTAACCGTTCTGTATCTGCCATCCCTCTCTGCCAATCCCTCCACTGACTTCCATTCAGTGTCCTCCACCCCTCTCTGCCAATCCCTCCACTGGCCTACACTCAGTGTCCTCCACCCCTCTCCGCCAATCCCTCCACTGACTTCCATTCAATGTCCTCCACCCCTCTCTGCCAATCCCTCCACTGGCCTCCACTCAGTGTCCTCCACCCCCCTCTGCCAATCCCTCCACAGACTTCCATTCAATGTCCTCCACCCCTCTCTGCCAATCCCTCCACTGGCCTCCACTCAGTGTCCTCCACATCTCTCTGCCAATCCCTCCACTGGCCTCCACTCAGTGTCCTCCACCCCTCTCTGCCAATCCCTCCACTGGCCTCCACTCAGTGTCCTCCATCCCTCTCTGCCAATCCCTCCACTGGCCTCCATTCTGTGTCCTCCTTCCCTCTCTTCCAATCCCTCCACTGGCCTCCACTCAGTGTCCTCCATCCCTCTCTGCCAATCCCTCCACTGGCCTCCATTCTGTGTCCTCCTTCCCTCTCTTCCAATCCCTCCACTGGCCTCCACTCAGTGTCCTCCACCCCTCTCCGCCAATCCCTCCACTGACTTCCATTCAATGTCCTCCACCCCTCTCTGCCAATCCCTCCACTGGCCTCCACTCAGTGTCCTCCACCCCTCTCTGCCAATCCCTCCACAGACTTCCATTCAATGTCCTCCATCCCTCTCTGCCAATCCCTCCACTGGCCTCCACTCAGTGTCCTCCACATCTCTCCGCCAATCCCTCCACAGACTTCCATTCAATGTCCTCCACCCCTCTCTGCCAATCCCTCCACTGGCCTCCACTCAGTGTCCTCCACCCCTCTCTGCCAATCCCTCCACAGACTTCCATTCAATGTCCTCCACCCCTCTCTGCCAATCCCTCCACTGGCCTCCACTCAGTGTCCTCCACATCTCTCTGCCAATCCCTCCACTGGCCTCCACTCAGTGTCCTCCACCCCTCTCTGCCAATCCCTCCACTGGCCTCCACTCAGTGTCCTCCATCCCTCTCTGCCAATCCCTCCACTGGCCTCCATTCTGTGTCCTCCTTCCCTCTCTTCCAATCCCTCCACTGGCCTCCACTCATTGTCCTCCATCCCTCTCTGCCAATCCCTCCACTGGCCTCCATTCTGTGTCCTCCTTCCCTCTCTTCCAATCCCTCCACTGGCCTCCACTCAGTGTCCTCCACCCCTCTCCGCCAATCCCTCCACTGACTTCCATTCAATGTCCTCCACCCCTCTCTGCCAATCCCTCCACTGGCCTCCACTCAGTGTCCTCCACCCCTCTCTGCCAATCCCTCCACAGACTTCCATTCAATGTCCTCCACCCCTCTCTGCCAATCCCTCCACTGGCCTCCACTCAGTGTCCTCCACATCTCTCTGCCAATCCCTCCACTGGCCTCCACTCAGTGTCCTCCACCCCTCTCTGCCAATCCCTCCACTGGCCTCCACTCAGTGTCCTCCATCCCTCTCTGCCAATCCCTCCACTGGCCTCCATTCTGTGTCCTCCTTCCCTCTCTTCCAATCCCTCCACTGGCCTCCACTCAGTGTCCTCCATCCCCCTCTCTGCCAATCCCTCCACTGGCCTCCATTCTGTGTCCTCCTTCCCTCTCTTCCAATCCCTCCACTGGCCTCCACTCAGTGTCCTCCATCCCTCTCTGCCAATCCCTCCACTGGTCTCCATTCCGTGTTCTCCTTCCCTCTCTGCCAATCCCTCCACTTGCCTCCATTCAGTGTCCTCCATCCCTCTCTGCCAATCCCTCCACTGGTCTCCATTCCGTGTCCTCCATCCCTCTCTGCCAATCCATCCACTGGCTTCCCATTGCCAACCAATAAAATTCAAAACATTACCAATAACATATAAAACCATTTATAACTCCGCCCCAAATTACATCACCGATCTTGTCTCCAAATATCACCCAAACCGTCCTCTCCGCTCCTCGCACAACCTCCTGCTCTCTAGCTCCCTTATCTCCTTCTCCCATGCTCATCTCCAGGACTTCTCCAGAGCTTCCCCCATCCTTTGGAACTCTGTACCCCAATTTATCAGACTATCGCCTACTCTACCCACTTTTAGGCGATCTCTGAAAACCGATCTCTTCAGGGAAGCCTATCCCGCCTTCAGCTAATAACGGAATCTTCTATTCCTCCTAACAGTCCATCCCCCACAGTTATTACCTTTTTGTACCACTAGCCCCTCCCTCTTAGATTGTAAGCGCCAATGAGCAGGGCCCTCCTTATATTGAACTGTATGGTTGCTGTATTGTCTCCCTTTATTTTGTAAAGCGCTGAGCAAATTGTTGGTGCCATATAAATCCTGTATAATAATAAATAATAATAAAAAATCGCTGAGCAAACTGTTGGCGCTACATAAATCCTGTATAACAAAATAGTAATATCACTGCCTCACGTACTCACCATAGATTTTTTTCTTTTACAGTAGTCTGTTTGTTTTTTTTTTTTTCCTTTTCAAAGCAGAACAATAAAGGAAAAAAAAAAAAGCCTAGCAACAAATGCCCCCACATAATGCATTAAAATTTATAAACATCAAATTTACAAAATGCAACATTTGAAGCCTTTCCCACGGATCCTACGACTGCTCAATATCCTAAATGTTGCTTTAACATAAAGGAAGATAATTCTTTTCAGTTTATTTGAAATTGCTCTGATAAAAGAAATAAAACATAGCGGGAATTCATCGCCGTAATTGCAAGCCGCTTATTTACCTGTAGAAAAGCATCCATTGTGACCCGCTAATGGAGTCCGCCATTGTTCCGTACATTATAACACCTTGACATACAGTTATGAAAGCAAGCTCCACATCATCCCCCCTGGATAACTACTCCAAGATCCATTAAAAAATGCTTCCTGTGACCCCCAATGTCAGGATTTTACTTTTTTTATCTTGTAATATTATAGCTCAGCATTCTTTGCCGTTGGTGAAGGACTTGCATGATCTCATAGAAGAGCAAGTGCACATTTTTAAATCAGAGTTTTATAGCCGACTCAATTTTATTGTAAACCAACGTAAAAAAAAAAAAAAAAAAAATCTGCTTCATAAAAAAATCTTATCAATGTGGGTTGTTTGTAAAATTGTGTATTCAAAACACCAACAAAATGGAACAGACGGTTGAAAACAGTTGTGATTTCCAGAGATAGAAAACAGAGATCTGAAGAGAGAACAGACGGGGGGGGGGGGGGGGGGAGACCTCCTCAGTACTCCTCCCTGTCACCCAGTGCCGGCCATGCCAGTCGTAGAATCCCTATAGACCGCATGTGGCAAACACAAAGCCCACAGGCCAAACCTGCCCACCAGGTAACTTCATGCGGCCTCAGTAGCAGAGAACAGAACTACTCCTACAGATCCTGTTCCTCTCTGTGCAGCTGCTGCACCCCTCTTCTCCACCTCCCTTGTCTCAGCAGTTAGTAGCAGAGAGGAGGATAGAACTCCTCCTACAGATCCTGCTCCTCTCTGTGCAGCGGCATCACCCCCTCATCTCCACCTCCCATGGTCTCAGTTCAGTATCAGAGGACAGAACTCCCTCCTACAGATCCTTCTCCTCTTTGTGCAGCCGCCGCACCCCCTCATTTCCACCTCTCCTGTCTCAGCAGTCAGTAGCAGAAAGGAGGAGAGAACTCCTCCTACAGATCCTGCTCGTCTCTGTGACGCCGCAGCACCCCCTTGTCTCCACCTCCCCTGTCTCAGCAGTTAGTAGCAGAGTGGAGGATAGAACTCCTGCTACAGATCCTGCATCTCTCTGTGCAGCCGCAGCACCCCCTTGTCTCCACCTCCCCTATCTCAGCAGTTAGTAGCAGAGAGGAGGATAGAACTCCTGCTACAGATCCTGCTCCTTTCTGTGCAGCCGCAGCACCCCCTTGTCTCCACCTCCACTATCTCAGCAGTTAGTAGCAGAGAGGAGGATAGAACTCCTCCTACAGATCCTGCTCCTCTCTGTGAAGCCGCAGCACCCCCTTGTCTCCACCTCCACTATCTCAGCAGTTGGTAGCAGAGAGGAGGATAGAACTCCTACAGATCCTGCTCCTCTCTGTGCAGCTGCTGCACCCCCTCGTATCCACCTCCCCTGGTCTCAGTTCAATAGCAGAGGACAGAACTACTCCTACAGATCCTGCGCCTCTTTGTGCAGCCGCAGCACCCCCTTGTCTCCACCTCCCCTGTCTCAGCAGTTAGTAGCAGAGAGGAGGCTAGAACTGCTCCTAAAGATCCTGCTCCTCTCTGTGCAGCCGCAGCACCCCCTTGTCTCCACCTCCCCTGTCTCAGCAGTTAGTAGCAGAGAGGAGGCTAGAACTGCTCCTACAGATCCTGCTCCTCTCTGTGCAGCCGCAGCATACCCCTTGTCTCCACCTCCCCTGGTCTCATCAATCAGCAGACTCCGGCAGCTGACTCTGGCCCTCCTCTGGTCCTCTTTCAGATCCTGCACATTCTGCTTCCCTGCTCTGCCCCCAGCTTCTTTCCGGCAGCAGCACCTGGTGGGGGGGGGGGGGGGTGGGGGGGATACACTGTGATGTAAGGGAGGGTGGGTTTCTTTTGACTTCTGATGGTGGGGGGCTCTTGACATCTGATGTAAGGGTGGGGTGGGGTTCTTTGGCATCTGTTTATAATTATTATGAGAATGATAAATTCTATGCCAGTTGAAAAGGAGGATCGCACACCGCTGGTGTCATTTACAGGAGACTTTCCTGGAGTCTGCTCGGGCATAACACCATGGCAGAACCGGGTTCAGTCTGAGCAGTCTCCAAAAAAGTTGATGGTACCAGCGGTGAGCGACCCTCCTTTTCAGACTTGCATCATGTGCTACAGCAATGTGAATGGGCTCCATCCCAATTTGCACCTGCCCTTCACAAGAAGGTGAGACGGAGCTATGAGCAGCACTCACCAAGAGTGCCTGAGTGCCTCACCAAGAGTGCCCTTTCCACCCCTCTCCTCCATTTATAAAAGCCATACTGCATCTTCCATTAATGAAACAATATCTATGAATGGAGAACTTGATGCCTTTGTAATAAGAGAGAAACAACTAAAAGATTGCGTGTCACCGGTAAGGTGAAGTTCAACTTTCAATATCTTCTTAGATGCTGATACCAAATATTTGTGTAATACCCTCTAGTATGCTATTTGGGTAGTGTAGGTACATTTATTATGGGATGACTTGTGGTAACTGTGTGAGTCTGTAATTAGGTTGGGTTACTGCAGGTCAGGCTGGGTAACTCAGCAGGTTGGGACTCCATCACCTCCAACTGGTTCTGGAGGACAATGGAAGCTTGCAGAAGAAAGTGGACAGGAGGGGTGGAGACCTAAATCTGTATGTTTATGGTAGTCTGGCCAATCACAGGTTTGGAGGCTCTGGTAGTGAGGTGAGACCATCCATAAATATTAGAGAGCCATGCTAGCAGGGAGTCGAGTGCTGAGGAGGCTGTCGGTGGCCTGCTAGGAGTCCCCTAGGTCTGGGGACGGGGACGGGACTGGTTTCCAGGCTGGGCTCAGGCTGGTTCAGGAGGATCCATTCAGCATTACAATATAAACAGGATCAAGGCCTGGGAGCAGTGGGAGCAAGGAGGACAGTGTGAGTACATCAGCACACCCAGGGATTCACAAGGGGAGAGACTGTTACATGTAGCAAGCTTTCAAAGGATGGCGCTGTCCTTAACCCTGTAGTCTTGTCCAGGGAGATCTTCAAAGCAGCCAGGAAGGCTGGTGGTGTCTGAGGCTGTGGAGCTGGGGGCAGGTTTACAGGGGAGAGGAAATACTTTTGCATGTAGTTTTGCAACAATCTGTGCTAAATTTCATAGGGGCTGAGAGTCCCTCGCCCGTAAGGGGCTCTTGCTACTGATCTGTAAAACCAAGCTCATGGACTGTTCACTGACCATGGATGCAAGTGTAGAAAATGGATGCT